AGAGGTCAAATCGTGGGTGAAAGTATTTTCCGAATTGCGTGCACCGATTCGTTTAAAAATTTACTACGGAAATATGCAGGCCCTAAAGTACGTCCTGAAACTCATGAAATTTCATTTTCTATCAACAATTCATTTATTTATCATGGACTAGAACCAACATGGCGTGGTTTGTGCACGTTTTCGACGTTTACGCTTCTTGGAGGCTTAGAATCGAAAATAAAAAGTTTCAGGACCTTGCTCGAACAATTTAGAATACCGTAGAAATGGAATATTACAGTCAGATGGAAAAATATGGAAAATATTTTCACCAACGATTGCAAGAGAATGATGGCTTGTCTAGGAGCTAATACGTGCTTTTAGAACAAAAATTTAGTTGCGACTAAACATCACAGATGGCGACGTTGGTCCTAAACAGTCGTTAGAATAATGAATTCACGAGATTTCGACAGTTTCACGTGGATCTCTTTATCATTACTTTACCGATATGACATATGGAACACTTCAGTTCGTATGATTCTCAGCGTAGACTGTAAAAGACTTTAACATAAATATAAATGTCGGTAATGGGACGCGCCAGTTATGTAACCACTTAGATTTTTGGAATGACATTACCACCAAAGAGGGTATAGATGAATTTCATTTTATAGTCTTCGATTAAATTTTTTGGGGCCTTTCATATCACGTTAAATCCAGAAAACATTAGTTCCGTCCAAACATTACCGTAATTTAAAATCGAGGGATTGTAAATAAAAAAAATTGATGGAAATTGTGGAACACTTTTTACGTTTTAAACTCATGATTGTCCGGAGCGATAAGGACAATTGGGGTGTCTTCTTTGGAGCGGGAAATCATGTTTTCCAGCGTCGGAGCAAAATCGCGCGTTCCTAAGAAAGAGAAGAAGTCAAGCGATTCCGTCACATCCTTTCTAACTGACTCATATTTTCTTCCTTTCTAATTTCACCGGCGTCGCCATACAGCGGATGGGCCGTGTCGTCCCTAGTAGCACAAAATATTTGTCCTATATTTTCTATATATTTAACGAATATCCTACATTTTGTATATATTTACCAGACATTTGAAATATTTGCAAAACGTTTACTTTAGAATATTATCTCTATAATATTTATATAATATTAGCTCCATGTGTTTTCATAATATTTTTCTACCAGATATACAAAACATTTCGTTTCATTTTAATACAAGTATTTTTTAAATATTATCTGCCGAATACATTATAAACGTTTTAAAAATATTTAAAATCAAAATCACACGTTTTGCTCCCATAATGAAATAGCGGAACGAAAATATTAGAAAAATTTCTCGTGTTTTTTGATACCAAATGAAGTGTCCGATAATAGTCGTGAAGTAAAAAATGTATTTTTATTATGTTAATAAGTTAAAAAATATAATTTCTATATATGTTTATAAATTATTGAAACTAAATATGTCATTGAGATTTTCAAGAAATATTTCGGATATCTTCGAATTAAATCTACAAGAAATCTTAAAAACTCTGTCGCTTGAGATATTTAGCAAAGATTACAAAGAAATATTTAGAAATTATTCTATGCTACTAGGGGAAGCTTCGGAAACCCGAGCTTTATTGCAAAGTGGATAAGACGGAGTTCCAAGTGGCTCCTCGGCCACGGGAAATCAGCTTCGCGTATTCCTCGCTCTCCTTTGAGACCGTGTCATTTTTATCCCGGCCGTTTCTCGCGATCTACAAAGAACGAGACACGCCTCCATCCCTTTTCTGTTTTTCCTCCCCTCGCAATTTCGGTACATTCCGTATTTTTTTTACAAATTTCCTTTCAAGGGTCCGATAATAATCGTAAAGTGAAAAATGTTTTTTTATTATATGTTTACAAATTAAAGAACATAATTTTGATACGTGTATATAAATTATTGAAACTAAATATGTCATTGAGATTTTCAACCAATATTTTATATATCTTCAAATGAAATCTACGAGGTGTCTTAAAAAATCTGTCGCTTGAGATATGTAGCAAAGATTGCAAAAAATATTTAGAAAATATTCTGTGCTACTAGGGAAGGTCCGCCTTCCTGCGGAGCTCCGGAAGCCCAAGCCTTAGTTTCAACTAAGGACGACCAAGAGAAAAAAGATAGAGGACCGCAAAAGCTCCTTCCGTTGTGCCAGACTTCCGTTTCTGGGATTACCGTGCACTTATAAAAACATTTTTTTTACGGCCACTTTGCGGTTTCCAGAAGCCCTACGCTCCACGGCTCGCCGATATACGCATTCCGCCTTTGCGGAATAAACCGCGGTCCGGGTTCCGCAGAAGTTGTCGCGATATTTCATGATATTCACGAAGGCCAGCCGCAAGCTTGCATTTGGCCTCGCGTCGGGACACGAATGTTAAACATTTATGGATTTCGTGTTTTCCGCTGCAGAGCGTCGGAACCTCGCGGGCCGTGGCGCGAAATCAATCATTTAGAAGAAACCAATTTCTAACTCATTTTCCTGATAACGACCGGCCAACGGCATCATGTGTGCTCTTTAGTCCACCGACATGGCAAATGCATCGATTTCATTGGTAATCGTTAAACAATTCTTCATGTTAATCTCTCAAAGGATTAAGGTGAAGCGAAACCCCCTTCAAATCAGTCGATTCGAAAACAACACTTCTTTTTAAGGGTATTAGACCAAACTGTCCGAAACTTTGACACATCACTCCTGACCATCTAAGAAATGTCCTGACGCATTCAAAATTTGGATTTTTGGAAAAAATTGTTTAACTCAACCCAGACCAGAACAAAAATGGCGTCGAGCTCTCATATTTCAATCAATATACAATTATCGAGGGCTCTAATATGAGAATCGAAAAGGTCAGGACAATTTTACGATAATTCAGAACGCTCTAGTAATCGATAAACTCGCATTTGAACGGGATAAAGGCAAAAAAAGTGTTGTATGCACTTCCATGTTAAAACGATGGAAATACGAGGTCTCGGAGTGAAAACTTAATTGACCTGGAAATCACAAATGGCGCAGGGGGTCCCTTACGGATAATGTAATAAACATGTTAAACAAACGATTATTGACTGCCAACCGACAGATGAGACATGGTGTATTGTTATGAGTAAAATTTGGAACCTAGACGTAACGAAAGCTTAATTGAAAACGTTACCAACTTATCCTATAATGTTCTAATGTCGACCGCTGAGTAGGAGACTATTCCCATTACGGATAATGTAATAAACATATTAAACAAAGGATTATTAACTGTCAACGGAAAGGTGCGACGAGGAGTATTGCTATGTGTACAATTTGGAACCTAGATGCTACGAAAGCTTAATTGAAAATATCATCAGCTTATCCTATAATGTTCTAATGTCGACCGATGAGTAGGAGACTATTCCCATAACGAATAATGTAATAAACATATTAAACAAACGATTATTGACTGCCAACCGACAGATGAGACATGGTGTATTGTTATGAGTAAAATTTGGAACCTAGATGCAACGAAAGCTTAATTGAAAACGTTATCAACTTATCCTAAAAGATTCCAATGACGATCACTGAGTAGGAGACTATTCCCATTACAGATAATGTAATAAACATATTAAACAAAGGATTATTAACTGTCACCGGAAAGGTGTGACAAGGTGTATTGTTATGAGCAAAATTCGGAACCTAGATGCAACGAAAGCTTAGCTTACAATATCATCAGCTTATCCTACAAGGTTCTAATGTCGACCGCTGAGTAGGCGACTATTCCCATTACGGATAATGTAATAAACATGTTAAACAAACGATTATTGACTGTCAACGGAAAGGTGCAACATGGTGTATTGTTTTCGACGAAAAATCTAGTTCAATCGATAGTCGATCCAATATGCTGTCACGCCATTTCCGTTAACGGAGTGTTGCCGCATTGTAACTCGTACGAGAATATGAAATGTCAGCGTTGTGCCGTTTATATTTCGATGCAGATATATCAACGAAACGACATCGCACCATCCGGCATGTCGATTGTGTAATCATTCACTTATCGGCGCGGTAACTTTCTGGCAATAGTAGTGAACGTTATGCAGACAGTATTTGACGAGGACGGAAAATACATTGATTTTAAAAGATTGTTCCTCTCAACGGGATGGCAACTCCCGCTTGCAAAGAAAACAAATATAAACTGGAAACTCAGTTATTTGGACACACGGAACACACCATTTAGTTCCAGCTAAACGTCACAGATGGCGACGTTGGTTCTATACAGTCGTTAGAATAATGACTTCACGGGATTTCGACAGTTTTACGTGGACCTCTTTATCGTTACTTTATTGAAATAACACATGGAACGCTTCAGGGCGTATAATTCTCATCGTTGACTGTAAAAGACTTCAACATAAATGTAAATGTTGGTAACGGGCCGCACCAGTTATGTTACAACTCACAAGGAAGATACTTGAGGGGTCCCTCTCCGATTTTGTTCAATTTTAAATATGTTATAGAGGACTAAAATCTAAGGGACCCGTGTTTTTTTTTNAGTAGCAATGTGTGTTACAGACGATGAATCCGAATACATAAACATAAATGTCGGTAACGCACCAGTTATGTTACAACTTAAATATTTGGAATGACATTACCACCGAAAAGAGTGTAGATGAATTTTATTTTATCAACGTCGATTCAATTACTCAGCGCCTTTCATATCATCTTAAATGCATAAAGCCTTAATATGAACATTCCGCTGCATATGCGCGTACGAGTAGTTGGATTGTTAGTAGCAATGTGTATTACAGACGATGAATCCGGATACATAAACATAAATGTCGGTAACACACCAGTTATGTTACAACTTAGATATTTGGAATGACATTACCACCAAAAAGAGTGTAGATGAATTTTATTTTATCAACGTCGATTAAATTTCTCAGCGCCTTTCATATCATCTTAAATGCATAAAGCCTTAATATGAACATTCCGCTACATATACGCGTAAGAATAGTTGGATTGTTAGTAGCAATGTGTGTTACAGACGATGAATCCGGGGAGAAGACCGTGAGTGTCCTGTTGGCGGAAGAGGAATCCGAGTTGACGTTCATCGACCATTCCTGTGCCGAGATGACCGTAAGTAATCGCGTGTCGTAATAAATGTGCCTTTCGTAGAAATTCTCGGAATAACAAACGAAAACCGGCAAAAGTACGGTAATATCGTCAACAATACCATTCATGCTGCCGAGGTTGAACGACAAACGTTAAGCGCTCATTGCGCCGTGCTCGACAATTGTTCGGGCCAATTTTGGTCCGCATTCTGTTACCCTCCACAGGACCGTGGCGTTCTGGGAACGTTTCTTTGCCGAAAACCAAGAAACGAAGTAAACGGCGACCGCTTCGAGTGAAGCATGCGGACGTGTTCCGCGAGGGGCGCATTTACATAATTAAGCGGTCCAACGTAATTGGCTTTCCAGTTTACGTTTTAATTCCGAGCGGATTAATTGCACTTTGGAATGATATTAGAAAAATGCGGAGGGAGGGTGGCGAGGAGGAAGGGGTGAAACTTGCGGGACGGCGACTTCAAAGGGTGCCGCCGTTTATCAAGGAAAAATAAAGATTGGACGCAATAACGCCGGCAAGGGCGTCTCTTTACTTGGCGAATTTTCGAATTGTGGGGGCGGCAAGGGGTCTAGGGGTCCAGGGAGGGAATTGCTAAACTCCTCGTCACGTATGCAAATTTCGTGCTCATTTTTCTGGCGCGGAAACACCCTGGCCTGGACGCGACAGGTAAGGGCGAAAATCCCGTGGAAGGACGTCCGTGGGTTTTTCGAGACGAAACAGGCTTCCCCTGTGGGGTTAAACAGGAAAAAGGAGAAACGCTTTTGGCGAATGATAAATGCTCTTTTTAAGAAGGGGTGAGACTCTCCTCCTCTCTTGTTAAGAAATCCGCGGGACAGTATTTCTATTCGAGAAATTTACTGTCCGTGTGAAATGAAGGAAATAGAATTTGTAAATTGTTTTATCCAAAATAGGGTATTTTGTTCCGTCAGAAATAAATCCTTTGGTCACTAAAGATTCGCCAAGTCAAGCAGTGCTATCTTACAATTAGCGTCGAGCAGAGTTTACCTTCTTCGCAAATTACCTTCGTCTTTAATGAGTAATGGATCTTTGCGACATACAGTTTACATTCTTTGCAAGTTATCTTCGTCTTTAATAAGTAATGGGGATTTGCGACATACAGTTTACTTTCTTTGCAAATTACCTTCGTCTTTAATAAGTAATAGGGATTTGCGACATAAAGTTTACTTTCATTGCAAATTACCTTTGTCTTTAATGAGTAACGGACTATTGCGACATAAAGTTTACTTTCTTTGCAAATTTGCTTCGTCTTTAATGAGTAATGGACTTTTGCGAGATACGATTACGGAACCGCGAGAGAATTACTTTGAATAAAATTTACTTCCACGAGGAATGTAGAAATCGTTTCTAGACGTCATGTCGGCGTTGCAGATTTCTGTGATTGCTCTCCTTTAAAATTGCTCAGCTGTAAATGTTACCTCGAGCCGATCGGAATTCGTATGTACAATGTCTGTTAAATATGATTTCATTTCGAGAATAAGTATTGACTGAATATTTTTCATCCTCTGTAATTCAACAATTCGCAGCTCAAGTGTGAATAAGAAACAGCCACTTGAGTAGTTATATTTATAGAACATACATCGAGGAAAAGTTTCCATGTTATTTTTTTTTTTCATTTCGTGATTTGAATGAACGGGTAAGCAAAACCGTTGGAATATAACTGCAAATAAATATAGGTGCAATTTGATAATACCTCCACGAAAAATGCTACAAATACATATTATCGTAAAAAGTAAGCCGATCATGTAAATATAAATATGCACGTAAAAGTATGTATTACTTGGCGTAAATTAACCCAGGCTCATAACAAGAATTAGCATCACCGATCTAAAACAATATGAGCGATAAGTATTGCAACAAGTTCGAAGGTGTATAATAATGACCGAGTTAATTTGGCCATATTATTATATTTATTCTTTTACACGTCGCCGACCCAAAGTAATATGAGCGACAAGTATTGCAACAAGTTCGAAGGTGTACAGGAATGACAAAATTAATTTAACCATATTATTATACTTATTCTTTTACAAGTCTCCTAATAATTTAATCCCCGTTAATTCAAGCCTCGGTATCTCCCACTGTCGAATGTACTCCAAAATTGACACATCGATCATACTCTGTCGTATAACAGAGACTTTGAAGCGACACGAATGTGCAAATTAGACAAAAAAAGCTTCGGCTAAAATTCGCAGTTGTCGACAAGGGAGTAGTAAAAACAAAAACCTCCTCGGAGAGGGGCAACGAATTTCGAGGCAATTTCCACCTTCGGAAGAAAGATTAAACAGGAAGAAAAATGAAATGGCGAACATTTATCACGGACCGTGAGAATTTGATTCGCGCCGGGTGGGGAAAAATCTCATCGACGGGTCGGCGGAGGTCGTGCACATTTTTAACTTCGCAGGGTTTTCCTTTCGTGATTAATGTATTATCGGGCCGGTACCGGTATTTGCAGATCGAGCTCCGTGAAAATCCGCACGGAACAATTAGGGTGAAAAGTGGCGTCTCTTTTGCCGGCCGTCGAAGCAGATGCAGGGAATATCGATTCGGGCAGGTGTGGCTGACGGTGCAGCCTTTGTACATAAATCATAATGGACTATCGGATAATTTGGATTCCGTGCAGACTCAGCCAATGCAACTATTACCACACAACGAATGGTGCGATCGGTCTCCAAACGACGCCCGAACTTCGCTTGAATCGTACCTTGAATTCCCGAAAACGAGATATTGTCCCGTTCATTAATTATTCCCTGTCTCTCTATCACTAAGTGAAAGCTCCTGATACTATATTTAGTTTCCTTTTCGACACATTTTACCATAAATACAATAATTTCACATATTGCTTATTAACAGCCGAGCGAAACACAAATTCCATCGGTTTCACTTATAGACTTTGCATACCGGAAGTGTGCCAGTACTTTACCCGCAATTGCGTAACGAGGGTAATATCTTAGTTGCGCTATTTACAACTATTGTGCATGCTTTCAAATTAATCGCCTCGGTGAAATCGTACACTAAAGTTTAATCGATGCACTTAATCGCAGCTCCTAATACTATTTTTAATTTCCTTTCGAAAAATGTTGCCATAAATACAATAATTTCGCAAATAATGCATATTTGCGTACATAAAACGTATGTATGTTTTACGTCCGTGACAGATCAATTTTTCGTCCTTTAATATACGCACAACATACGTACATTATATGTCTTTTGCATGTGTAATATCGCAGATACAGGAGTCTATTACATAGAGATGTATTATACGTTTATTAAACGTATCTAATTGGTGAATATGTGGATGCTTTATTAACGTATAACATATATATATCAAACATGTGAGTAAAATAATGCATATATACGTACGTAAAACATATGTATGTTTTACGTCCGTGACAGGTAAATTTTTCTTCCCTTAATATACACACAACATAGTTCATTAAATGTCTTTTGCATGTGTAATATCGCAGATACAGGAGTCTATTACATACAGATGTATTATATGTTTATTAAACGTATTTAATTGGTGAATATGTAGATGCTCTAGTAACGTATAATATACACATATCAATCATGCGAGTAAAATAATGTATATTTATGTACATCAAATATATGCACATTTTACGTTTTTGATAGGTCAGTTCAACATACATTCATTACGTTTTTTGCATGTAACATACTACACATACAAATTCCTATTAAATAGAGATATATTATACGTTTACTAAACGTATTTAATTGGTGCATATGTTGATGTTCTAGTAACATATTTAATACGTATAATGTACATCTAAAATCCAATAGAATATTTTTGACATTCGGTGGACATATACGTATATATTTAACTTCTGATATACTGAAACATCCCGTAGCCATGAAAACATTCTGTATACGTATAATAGAGCTTTTGTTCCGTGTGGGAAGGATCCCTAGATCTAGGTGGCAGAGGGACAAAAGCCTAACCGCAGCACTTAAACTTACTCGTAGACTTTGCATACCGGAAGTGTTCCAATATTTTACCAGCAATTGCGTAACGAGCATAATATCTTAGGCGCGCTGTTTGCAACTATTGTGCATGTTTTCAAATTAATCGCCTCGGTGAAATCGCACACTCTCGCGAAAGTTTAATCGATGCACTTAATCGCACCATTAAGGTATGCTCCGCATTTCTAAGCACTACTGGCGCATATACGTATACAGGTGTAGGTGGCCAACACTTGTTCCGAAGTTGGGTCAACTTAAGTCGTATTACGTCAGGGATATAATTACTCCATTACGTTTACCACGTCAGAGTTCCATTGTTAGGCAAGAATTCGGTTAATTCCGGCGTTCGCGGTGTAATAATAATCCTCCAGAAAGAGTATTCGAGTAGAGAAAATTTCTAATTAATTTCGATTTTGACTACTCGAGTTTACGGAGAGTGTTGAACCATCTGATTCGAGTGAGGCGGTCTGATGTGATGTGTCAAAGTTTCGGACAGTTTGGTCCAATACCCTTAAAAAAAAGTGTTGTATTCGAATCGACTGATTTGAAGGGGGCTTCACTTCACCTTAATGTGAACGTTTTATCTAAAGTGTGTTAATTAAAGAAAATATATTTCGATATATTTGTTTAGCATTTATCATTTCCAAAGCAAAGAGAGACTAAAAAATGAGAAAAAATTAGAAAAACAAAGATCAATTCCCGCGACAGTGATATATCTCAGCGTATGGTCAGGAATTATTTCCTGGGATGTAAGTAGAACGAGAGCAAAATAAGCAGACTTTCTCCCTGGTTTCGTAACTCTGCTATTTTTTCAAATTAATCTTTCCAAAGTAATTTTTTCAGAAATTAAGTGAGTACATTCTTTAATCTCCTGTAACGTTTAAATAACTTGAATAGAAAAAATGAAACTAGTAAACGCAGGTTAGTGCTTTTGCGATCTACTGGACATCGTCCTCCTGTACTAGAATGAAACAAAAGGTACAATAAGTCTGAAATCGCTTCATAATGTCTGATTA